CGGCATGATTTAACTGCTATCCAACTATAATTAACGAGGCATGTTTTCTAATTCTCTAAACCGAACTAATTAATACTTCAGCACTATCACTTTATCGTTACCGAACACCTGGAAACCCGCGGAACGAATAAATAATCGTTAAATCCGATAACTACAACACGTGAATTACGATCACATTTGTCCAGAGGGTCCAGAACTACGTCAAAGAAGATTCTTCCAGGAAGGTAATAATCTAGAAACAGAGATGATAGATGTCTCATATCGAAAAATGCTGTACCTCGGTGCACGGTTCACATTACATTACTTCTTCGTCATTTGTCATGTTGATATGTTTAGCGCGTTTCAGAATTTCTTACATTTTGTCTATTCGATTTCCGTGAAGTGAGCGTTTTAACATAACTTCTTGCATAAAGGATCGCAGTGCGTTCTATGTGCCAATCCTTTATTATAGGTAGAGACCAATGGGCGTCTTAGGTGCCGCCGTAGCAATGGATACAATCTCTTACGATCTCTGCATGCACAAAACTTTCACCTAAATCTTTTCGAACACGTATCAAATGGGGTGGCATAGCAGTAACGCTCTAGACTCGCAATCGCGAGATGCCTGCTTCAAATCTACGTCGGAGCTGACGGTTTTCGCGGAATTAATCAGTGTCTCCAAGCAAATGCCGGAATAGTATCTCGATTTAAACCATGGCCATTTCCTTCCACATCCGTTAATCATTCATCACTATGCAACGTTGTATAGTTATTTCACAGGGTCGTAAAATAACCCACAAAAATTCTAGAACATAACGTTATATCGAAATAAATTTGGAAATTCTCAGTCGGAAAGCAAAACATGTTAGGTAATGCAGATACACGGCTTAGGCATTAGCGCAGGGCATTTAAGCCAGAAGAGTTACCCAGGCCAAGACGATTTCTTACAATAGATATGAAATGGAAACAGAACATAATTCACGGAACAGAGTCCTTCTTGAGAAGCCAAAAAATCGCTCAGCTAGTCTAGAATTTCCTCAAAGGGTCATTACGGAATTTGCAAGAGCCCACTTCAGTTAACACCTAACCTCTCTTACTACTTTAAAATCCATTTTATATTGTAGCTTGGATAGCTGATGCTATGAAACTGACGTCCAGACAGACGTCCATTGCTAGCAATGGATGGGTAAACACATTTCTGCGGCAACGAATACGCCGAGGCTATACAACCCCCTAGCGAGCGAAGAATTAAATTGAAAGAATTAGTTGAGGAACTGAGGTATCACAGTTAGTGAGTGCTCAGTTGACAGTCGGGCTGTGACGACAGAAGACTAGGGGATCGCTGTGAAATGGCCACCAGCCTGGATCGAGTTAGTTGAGAATCGGCAGTCGAAGATGATTAAGAAGAGACTGCATCGAGATCAGATGAGATTTGGAAGTCAGCCTGTGAATAGAAGACCTTACATATGATAATTATTGTGTTGAAAACCGTTGCCAGGATACGACTAGTGAAGACTGTGTGTGCGTGTGTGTGTGTGTAACGGTGAACTGTAAAGTGTGTAGATTAGCGGTAGTGCTATATTACTTGTAATTACGAGTCGTATGATAAAGTAGTCAATAAATGCAATATCCAATCCAAAACCCCGTCTAGTCACACTAAAAACGCGGCAATATTATACTGTCCTCTACACTAAAATCTTCGAAGTAACCTATTCTCTTTAGGTTATCTAAAATAATTCTCATAACTACCATGCGTGCTACATGGCTATATGCGGAACTCATCCTCCCAGTGTAATAGTTCATAACATGTTAGTTTTCTATGGTGAGGGAATACACAGGTTGGTATAATGGTAACTCTGTAGACTTTCTAGGTTCAAATCTCGGCTGGGACACTAGTTATCCTGGCAGATTCTCCGTTTCCATGGCCCCTCTAGGCAAATGTCATCATAGCTCATTAATTTGATCATGACTGCTAATTTCTAAATCCTTTCAAACGTGTTATTCACCAATCACCCTACCATTTGACACTATATAACCTCAAATATTAGCAGTGTCATAAACTAAATCAGAAACACTAAATTTATCATTGTTATCTCATCATTAGGCCTGAAAGTTGGAGGTTAACCTATCTGTGGCTGTCCAAAACTGTTTATTTGATGCAATCTTCTGTATTCTTAGGCTGTCTCCTCTATCCCGAAGACATACCATGCAATGGTGACAAGGGACCCATTTAACAAGGAAAGCAAAACAATAAATATTCCGCACAAAGTAAGAATACCAGCAGCATCTGCAATCATGTTGTCCATAGTTCACAATTGGTCTGTGTGCCAGCGATCACCCAGCTATTCTAGGCCTTTCAGATAAAAATCTTCAGCAAATTCTGCACAGTAACCTTAATTTGACCATAAGAGATTCAGATTGTGCTACAACTGCAAGCCACCTGAGTGGATTTATGCAAGTAGTTGAACATCTTGAGTATGGATCCTGATATAACTTATAAAATGACTGTCTGATGAGGCACACTTTCCTCTGTCAACAAGCAGAATTTCCAATACCGGGGCGATAAATGAAGTGGCATGTCTACCTTTGAAATTACTGGACTATACTTCTCTGAGAAGTGACTATAACCCTGGAGCAATATCAAACAGTTCTCAAAATGTTGGAAGTGGATGGTACCATCATGCGTACAGCTTGCAAATTGATTGACTGTTTGAGAACCATGTTTCCTGGGCATCTCAATTTCATGTTATGGTCACATTGCCATCTAGGTCTCCTGACCTGACAGTGCCTGACTTCTTTCTATGGGTCTCTATTTAAAATCCAAATTTTATGTCAACAAACTCGAAACTAAAGTAATGTTATATTGGTGCAAATTTATGGACAATTTTCAACCTAGATCTTAAGAATGTATCGCTTCATTGACAGCACTTAAAATAAATATATATATAAAAAAAATAAACACATTCTAATAAATTACATATACTACTACTCTTTGGTGAAATTATTTTTTGTATGCCCATTCCCCTCAACAGCACTCTTAAAAACAACTGCATCCCACTGCCATACACTACGTATATTAAATGGTTGCTTTAATAATCCATATATTCCTTCGCTGCTCATTACAGTTTTCCGTTTCATGTGCACTACCAGAAACTGCTGATGCTGGTTTTGCAGTGTACAGCAGGATATGGAGACTGAAACGTGGTCAACTTATGTTATATTGTCAGACCATGAAAATGATGACACTTTATCTCCTTTCAGCACAGAGTTAAAATTCATTGCAACCTTCATACACAGTTTCTCTGTGGACCTGGCTATGTGAGCACTCAAAATGACCAAATCTTGAATGGGGATTCTACCGTAATAATTACTTTCTCCAACTCCTTGAATGTTCTGGATAACATATGTTATCATGAAATCACTAGCCCAACTGTTGTCTGGCTATGGGCTCACACATTCTCTAGTGAAGAGCAAATAAAATGGTCCACAATACATAAACCTCTCCATTGCTTTATCAGTGTATCTCTGTCCACTAATGCCATAGAACAGAGAAGAATCCTTCTTCAACAAATGGTTGCTCAGATACTGAACCAATTGTCCTTTATGGAACCCAAAAATTTACCACTGTTCACAAACCCACAACTGGATCCTACACTCAGCTAGAAGAAACCAAACCATATCCTTCCCCTTATTTCCTTAAGATCCACTATTAGCCTACTTTCCTTATTTTGAAAAATCAAAGGCTTATGAGAAAGCTTTACTATCTGAGTATTCTCCTGTATCATTTTATACACGGTCTGCATCATTTGAGAGGAAAGTAGGCGATTAGTTCTCAGAACTACTTGTAATATTATCTTGGAATCCCTGTATAAGTTTTCCAAGAGGTGTCTTCCCTTTGGGTTTTCTGAAAAAAATTCTATATGCTGCATGCCTTATGCATACCACCCTCCTTGATGTGATCTTCCTAACAATACAAGAGAGCTGCAGAGATGCTAAAATCTTGTTGGCTTACTCTTCGGTCCTGAAGATGGAGGCGGTATGTTCTTCCAAAACATAGGAAAACTCAACCAGACTCATGGCATCACATTGTGTCATTGCTGTGAGAACTTCAAATCCAACGAGAAAATGTATACTTCTGAGGGAGGTACAGAATGCAATCATTTCAAGCTTCAAGTGGTCAGTAAATTGTTACCATGACCAGATTCATTAACACAAACATACTGTTAAACTTCTTTCTCCTGCTTCTACAGAACTGGCACCCATATTTTAACTTTGGTGTAATAATAATATCAGTACTGAAAAAATGCAATTCAATGCTTGGATTGTGCACATGAAATGTAATATTGCAGCACTCAGCTAATAAAAATAAAATTTACACAGCAACAAAAGGATTAAAATTTGAGGCTGTCACAGGAGTGAATATTAAGAGTATCTCCTTTATAGATACTTCACAGTGTCACAACCAGAAGACAGCTGCTACCTTAAAAAAAGTTCAGTCACTAAACTTGAATAGGATGAGGAGGAATACCCAAAATAAAACTTAATTTCTCACTGTAAAGTCTTGCTGCATTGTATTTCAATCAAGAGTGTGTTCACTGCTCATTTTTGCACAAACCTTTACTAATTATACGTAGCATCAAGTGGTAGGACTGGTGAATAATGAATAGGAAAGGATTTGGAAGGAAGTGATTTTAGCTTGAGGTAATATCCTGATGCATCTGCCTGGAGGGACTAAGGAAAACCTCATCAGGATAGCCAAAGTCCCACTCAGGAATCAAATAAAGCACATTCAGAATACAGGGACCAGTAGAGTGCTCTTGTGAGCATGGCAATGACCCTTCAGGTTCCACAAAATGCTGGCAAGTTCTTCAGTAGTTTGCATAACTGGTGGTTTCTCGAGAAGGGCTCAGCTCCATGAAGTCAGAGTTACTGCTACACCAACCTGCTCAGTATTTTGCAAAAACTTCAAATTTAAGTTCATAAGACTTTGTGCTATTCACAAAATTAACCAGCAGCCAGAATAAAGATTGCTGTTGTACACATGAGACTCCAGCGCAATTTTCATGTTTATTGAAGTACACATAATACAAAGCATTCATTCTCTACTGTTATTGAGCACATCTAATGTGCAGATTCTTCCTTATTTTTGATGTTTCAGGCACTACTGGAATCATAAGGCAAGCCACAGCAAACACAGATCTAATGTTTGCATTTAGCAGCACATCAAATATCTGAATTAAATTCAGTTGAGCAAATTAATACAGAACAAGGAAACTCAACAACATTCAGAACAAGTACTGTTAGCATATGGCTTGCTGCAGCACAGAAAGTAAGCATCCTCTAGCTTCAAACTGACAAAATTATGTATTTGAAAACATACAACATAAACTGTAGTATGGAATCTAATGTTTGTACAGAGGACATTTTCATGTCCTCAGACTTTCCTTTTGTCTGATAACAAAACATATCTTTTTAAAGTATAATTTGGCCTTCTAATTAGCAGCTGCCTTGTAGTAATGAAGATAAAGTCTTTTGGACACTTATCAAGCACCACGAACTTTTGCTGTGAACAGTTGGGTACTTATGATATCTCATATAATTAAGTTACATACCTATTAATACTACTGAGTAGCTCAAAGTTAGAAATTTTTAAAATTTACATTTGCATATAATATCCTAAAGGAAGACGCCTAATTTATATTTAATAATAAATGTACAGAAATTACTAAGAAGTTTATCTTGAATATCAGGTTTCAGATTGATATGAAGTTTACAGATTTCTTTAAATCTTATCAGTAGTTGCCAATGCTGATCTTGAAGTCCAACCACATGAATATATATAATTGCACGACCTGGCACTACTAATAAAAATTTATTCTTTCTCTCCTTTTCACAGCAACACACACATGAAAGCAGTTTTTCGATTCTTTTGAAGCAGTTACTTTACCCTCCCATGAGGTACATGAAGCTGAGAAACACTGCGGAATGTAAACATCATAACACAAACAGAGAACTGAGAAAAAGAAAATTTATCTTTATATTCCTGCACATTAACTGGTCTGGTGATGCACTATTAGCCAGATCAGAGCATTCGCCACTGATTTAATTTCTGAGCTGCTGCCAACCAATCTCTAAATATTATAAAATACTATAACTAAATAAAGTATAAACTGTTTATAATATCACATTGACAACCTTCACAGCGAAACAACCTAGAACGGATCTACACAATGTGCTGGTTATACTGAGGAACTGTCAATTTAGTCACATACTAGTCTCTGTGGTTATCACAGTTCACCACAAAGTATCTTTCATTGTGAGTATGTGCACCCACAAATTACATAACCTATTTAAAAATTCCAATAATGGGAAAAGTAATTTATTTTAAAGTCCAGTCTTTGCAGGCTGCAGTACTTATTGCCATAAGAGGATCACTATCCTGAAGAGTGGGTACCCATGACCTATGAGGCCTCCAGCATACAGACTGATATTTCAATGAAAATTTGCTACATAAAATCAGTCAAAATTTGTTTAAACAGGAATTTTGATATGTTCAACCTTTTGGTACCAAATACCATAGGATATATTCAAAAGACCCTGAGTGAATTTTTTTATTAGCTATCATCAGTAACTCAGCACCATTTTTACAAAATGGTGCATTTATCCACCATGGACCTCATAACCATAGTTATTAAATTTTAAGGCTAAATTACGAAACCTAAGCTCCCAAACATTTTCACAGTACAAATTAACACTAGGCAGTACTGAACCAAGTCACCACAGCTGGCAATTTTACATCATTTTCCAAAGAACTGACAAGAACACATAACCAAGTACAACCACAAATATAACATTGAACTTGTTAAAGCAAAAATAAATGCCAACGATTTCACACTTTTTTTTTAGTTTGAAGCTAATTATACAGTGACACCCAGAATTAAATGGTTGTCAGAAACGGTATATAATAATAAAAAACAATGGTAACACAGTAAGCAGGTCACAGAAGCACACTGCATGATGTAATCTCTGATGGTGTTTAGACCAAAGCAAAGACTGCAGACTTCTTCAGGCTGCAGTGAGAGCCACAACAGTGAAGTACAGTGCATCAGGATCACGGTCAATGTACTGCTGGCACACTTTGGCAGCATCCTGTGAAGAAGGAAATTCATGTCAGTACAACCTACACACTCAATACTCATTATCAACCCCCTACATATAAAAAAACAGTATATTTGTTACTGTCAATACACCAGTTCAAGTAAAAGTAATAATAAAGGCTATTTACATTAATGTTGATCATGACATGTTTCCACCCTTGTTGAGCCATCATCAGGTGCATCTCTGTGTACTTTGATGCTGATTTTTTTTTTCAAATATGGATCCATATTTTCTTCATATTTGACAATAAGATTATGTGATTATTGCTTAGTAGTGAACCTCTGGTTTGTTTACTCTTTGGCTTTATGCCATATTGGTATAAAATTAAAGTAAAAAAAAATTTAGTACTACACCCAGCCCATGTGGGTTCATATTAAATTTTCAGGTTATGTATTTATGAATAAAATAGTTTGAGCTGGTTGTGAATGCCTATTTGACCATTCTAACAGTACACTGGCCAAGCTGTGATGTTTCGGGTCTCTTGCACTGTACATTCCTATGTACTGCATCTTTATTTATACTATTTCAGGGTGCAGGTTGAGATATGCATCCTCACGTTGTTTTCTTTATGATATGTAGCAAAAGCTCCTAAGCTCGCATCATGTTCTGTACTCGGTCATTGAGATTCGGTTTTGAATGACACATAACGGGATCCAAGATGTTAATACCCTTACATACTGCCCATAGGCTTCATAACCACAGGCAAGAGGCATAACTGAAACATATAAGACAATTACTCTAGGCCCTTAAATTTTGTGCACACAAACTGGATCCAATTTATGTGAAATTCTTCTTACATGTTATACCTACAGCTGTGAACTGATGTAAACTTAATGTTTAGGAGTGTGTGGACTGTAATTCAGTGTATGTCAAAATCAGTGGTTTGGCTGTTACTGCCACAGCAAAATGCTGACTTAATAGTGGGCACAAACATGACTGAGAGTTAGTTTAGACACTGATCTTGAACCTCACATGACTCTGATCTGCAATCTGCATGTAATTTATAGATGAACTTTCACCATCATTTAGACCTGGACAAACCAATACTACCAACAACACACTTGAAGACAAGAGAAGAAAACTTGTCAACCAGATATCACTAGTGATGAAATATACTGCTTCATAAATGAAATGTCAAGTTGTCCCTATGCTCAATTACTTAAATACTATGCCATGAAGACATATGGGGGAGTTGAGGTATAGTTCCATCTTTCTTTGCTTTGGCACTACATGGAGGTGAGTGGTCAGCTTCACACCCCTACCACTTTACCCCCAGGAAAAGAGCTCCCAGTACCCATTGGGCAGGAGTCAGTCTGGACACTNTATGGGGGAGTTGAGGTATAGTTCCATCTTTCTTTGCTTTGGCACTGTGCCCATTGGGCACAGGAGTGGAGAAGAGAAAAATCTTGACCTGTTGGGAATGGAAGCTGGGCTGTCTGGCCTCTAGCCTGTCACTATCCTAAATCCATATAATGTTTCTTTTCTAATGGCTCTTCCAGCCCATTCAGGGCCCAGGCCTCTTATTCAGTTCCATAATCATTTTTCACAGACGGGAGGACTCCTTGGATGAATGATCAGCCTGCTGCAAGGCCACTACCTTAACACAGGACGACACACAGAATAAACACATACACACACCAAACATCCATGCCCTGAGTGGGATATGAACCCACAATCCCAATGTCTGAGCCAGCGAAGACGGTTCATGCCTTAGGCTGCACAGCTACTGCAATCAGCAATTTTCATGGCTCTGACAATTCCAGTAGTTAGTTAGTTATTGGAGAGGGTGGGTTTCCCCATGCACTGAGACCTGTATTGGTCCATTGTGCTTCCCTCTATGATATTCTACCAGTCTCTATATCCTACCAGTACTGGTGCTTACCATCAGTCCCGCCCAGCCAGCGAGACCGGCTCTACTAGCTGAGAGGTATCTATAATGCTTCCCCCATCTACCAGAGGTATTAGAGACTGCTGTTGGGCAGGAAACGTCCGTAATTTTGGCTCAGTGACCTCCTTTGGAGATATGAGGTTCTTTTACGTGCCGTAAAGCTACGACACGGGACCCACGGCTTAAAGTTCCTCCTGGAGGACTTGTTCCCTGAATTTTTCCGCCCTTAAAAATTCGATGACCTCAGCTGGGTATTTGAACCCGCGTACTACGAGTCATGAGGTGGGAACGTTACCTCTAGACTACGGAGGGCACTGACAATTCCAGTAAGTCATGATGTCTAGGACACAATAAATTATTGCTGGCCAACTAAAGAGCTATAACTATACTCTTTTCTACACATACTAACATTTTTTCACTTCAAAAATAATGAAAATTGATGAGACAGAAAGAGTCCAGATTACAGGTTATGAAAGCTCCAGAGGCTTTTTGCATACTTTCTGTTTGTGAGGTGAAAACGTTTCTGGGAATATATAAAGATTTAAACATTGTCATAGCAGTTCCTCAAAAGAAATTCAGAATGTTTCAAACTCTGTATATGGTTGACTACTCAAACTGCGCCTAAAACATCTTTGAGGTTATATCAGTTTTTACGAAGTTCTCAACATATAAAGAAGGGGAATCAAAACTGCCGCAACAGACATTTTATTTTGCTCAACATATAGGACTTTGTTTTACAACACTGCCTGCTCTAGAGATTCAGTGTGACATACCCTCAAGGATGTTAGATACTACTACTATATATATTTGAAGTTTTGTAAGCATCAGTAAATGAGCAGCAAGTATTATATATTCTCTTCATCATAACCACCATGACAGACCTGACAGATTAAAAAATTAATTTCTGCAGCAATTGACAACGGTAACATGTCTGTGCATAGGAGATGGATCAAGTGAATGCAAGATTCAGCAATTCTGTGACATTTGTTGGGATTCAGATTGTTTTGCAGCTGCAGTATGCAAATTTTATTAATAACACTGTTTGTTTGCTAAAACAGTGAAAACCACCTCGGACCACACAAATGCGCTGATGCAATAACGTCAATTAACAGGGCCATCTTAGGGTTCTGTCTTCTGGGATGTAATACCATGTGGTCCACTGAGTCAAATGGTGCTTTGGAGGAACATGGTGGAAGACAGAGGTGACATGTTCCCCCAAAACAAAAACTGTCAACGGACTACGTGGCATGATATCCCAGATGACAGAATTCTTCATAACTACCACTGTGAGGACTTCAAATTCTACAGAGCCATCTTAGATTGCAGCTGGTCTTACAGTCAGGCAAATGTGATGAACACATTACATATGAATGTGGACTTACTTCCAGCAAGGTGTCATCTGAAGTGTGCCCATGGTTTATTGGGAAAGATTTCCTGCCATCTGGAATCACATTCATATCCACATAATTATATTATGCACAGAAAAATCATTCATTTAAATATTTAAAAATTCAATCTCTACATCACACAAAAGACACTGCATCACCATCAGAAAGATTAAACCAGGGAAATCGCCATTTACTCTGAAAATAAAACAAAGCCCACAAATACACAGTGCAGGCATAGTACAGAGTTCTTAATGTTACAGCATGTGTTACATAGTAGTTACTGCCATCCATTAAAGGATTAATGAGAGATCCTAAGAAGAGATGGCAATATCTGTCACTCTAGCGCTGTAACTCACTAACACTGCAATTAAAAATTCTCTAACAAAACAGTAAATGTTCTGATTCTGAGCATGGCAAAACTTGCTGCACCCCTCTATATAATGAGTTAACAGAAAGTTTCAGCTCTCCAAATTCATCAGGAAATATCATCATACATTACTTAACAGCCAACAGGGGCTCCACTTTGAGTACTGCCAGTCTTGTCACTGTACACTTCCTTTACATGCCAGCAGTTCCTATCTCAACTATAAGATGTCCTTTCTACTCACTGCAGCAGATACACTGCTGCTGCTTCTTGCATCTGAGAATGACACACTGCACTACCAAATTAAGATCAAATCTAGTTTTTAATCACCAAAATCATCTTGAAAATACCATTCAGTGTGTCTTGCTTCACTCAGTTCTGTGCAATGCTGGGCTTTTAAATTTTTAGACTTAATGCAAGAAAGCTCATGAGGAAATAGGCAAAGTTTCAGAGTAAAGTGATGATCCATACAAGAATGATTTGTGGAGTGATGGTGGGGATAACATATTGACTGTGATTACATAACACCAAGCCTCTCAATGAAAGGAAATGCAAACACAGCCTTCACCCATGTCAGAGCAATGATTCATGGGCCATGGGGGCATTCTGATGAAGTTATTTATGGCGTCTATAACTAAGAAAGTAACAGTAGGCTAGAAGAAATTTTTAGTAAGAAGGACAATTAGCCTTCACCTTAAAACAACTCCAGTGACCAAAGCACCTCTCATAGCAACTGAAGTACCCGTGATTTCCTTTCATTTGAGCTTCACAACTGTTACCAAAACAGGCAAGTGTGCACAGGAATTTCTTCAAGGTCCATGCTAAACCCGTATGTCCAAAAGAAAAAAAAAGGGGGGGGATATTATAAATGGGTGAAATAAAAGTATTTATTACCTGTTTGTTAAACATGTAGGTCAGAAAACCAAGAATTTCACCTTACTGGTATATAAGCATATAACAGCATACCAAAAGTTTTCATGGTATGTTTTCCAGGAACTGTTTACACCTCATTCTAAAGTTTCCCATTATTAGCGTCCATTTGTCTATAATCCGTCTAAATTGCAACACTTTTTATTTTACACTTCAATACATTCTCTAACACTACATGTTTTGGCCTCAAACGGCCATCTTCAGGTTTTTTTTAACAGATATTCAATTAAGATTGTGTCGAAACTGCTACACTGTTTCACTGTTCCAATTCATTTTAAAAAACCACACACTGTAGTCTTCTTTTTAATTAAAATGAGATAAATTCTTTTATAATTTGTTACTTATTGTTTTGCTTCACTCAGGGTGTCGTCATTTCCATAAAATATAAAAAGTTTTCCTTGGCAGCTTGTTCCCCATGTTAGTTATCTGCAATTTATAAATTCTTATAAATTGCAACAGATGCTGAAATACACAATCGTTTCTCATTATGTTGATAACAGAAACAATGACATTTCTGGAGACCTCAAATGATCCTCATGCCAAGATCAGACTCCTGACAGACTATGACAGCAAGGTCCTCCAAAATCATGCAACTAATGCAGCAAACCAAGTTTAGGATGCTTTCTGACTGTGTCACATTACTGCTGGCAAATTTTTCATGGAGCATCCAGTGAAGACAGAAGGTAAGGTTATATATATATACTGCTTATACGGATGCAAGCAAATTATTGGAGATGGGGAATTATCTGTTCAACTCTTCATGGATCTTTCTTTTTTTACCAAATCTATACAAACTTTGCAATCCACAGCTTGAACTGTAAACACAAGGAGAAGGGGTCAATGACAGTATGTTGTACATGTAACAATGAGCTTGGAAAAGGATATCAAAATCAGTTTTCAGAAAATGGGGAAAAAAAGTGCTCCATAGCGAGTGCTTTCCTGTGCATAAGCACAAAAAGTGACACATCTGTGTAACCTTTTCCAAAATTTGTGAAAATATTACAGTGGTATACATAAAAATAGAGTACGCATTTTTGCAAGTCATCACTCAAACACAAGATCTGGATCCTTCTACTGTGAGACTGGGACAACCAATAACACAAATTCAATTCAAGGGGGTGCCATACAGAAAACTCACTGTGCTATTATATGCCAAATTAAACATGAAAAATTTCCCTTCCTTTACACTAACTATGAAGGTGCATGTGGGAAATGGAGACAAAGATCTCAGCACTAACATTAACATTAAATAAAAGACAGTGGTCAGCATCTTTAGCTGGAAAGAGCCAAGAGTATTCACTGGGCAGACAAGATGCTGGGTGAAATCTACATCATATCAGAGCATGAGGTAACAGTAACACCAACCTCTGGAACTGAATGCCAGCTATCCACTCAAAGTCACTGTGCTCTGACAATTTTTTCTACTCAAAGATAAATATTATTAAACCAATCACCAGTATCCATACATTTTAACTTACCAAGCTCATACAGGTCACCATCCTTATGCACGAAGGTCACAAAATGATAGATGACTTGTTCATTTGCGTCAGGTGCCTGTAAAATTTCAAGGTAACAGTTCTGAATTACCAGTCATTATACTCACTCCAAAACACCGACTGGAAAGGAAACAGCTGACTCTCTCAGGTCAGGTTTCTAAGCAGATTAGGAAATATATACACAGTGTATCAGTCATTACACATTAATGTGTTTAATTGATTTCTACAGATTTTGTAAAGGTAATCTTGTCCCTATGGAGGTGGAGTTCAGTGGTCAGCTCCACACCCCAGCTACTTATCCCCCCCCCCACACTTCCAATACCTGCTGGATAGGATGGTTGGTGTGGCCCAGAGCTGGCCTGGACACTGAGGAATAAAATATCCAATAAGCACTGGAATGGGGATTCCCCTCTCTGCATCCCAGTATATTCTCTTCTATATCTACAGTACATTCACTCCTCCATCTTCTGTGGTCTACTGCAGAAGGGCATACAGTACCAGTCATCCTGATGTGATAGACAGCAGAATCAAATGCGTTTGGAAGTCTATCTACACTGAGGATACAGCTTACAGCTGCTGCACCATTACAATTGGCTCTACCAAGAATTAAATGCATATCTGTCAATTTCAAGCACAGACTTACAAAGCAATTAAAACAATGAAAGAACAGGCTGTATGTACAGTTCACTGGAAATGAATGCCTGATGTCACATGCTAGCATACATGGTCAAATCACCATCACTGTAAACATGATGATTGTGTCTTCCAATGCAAAATGGGGAAAGTGACAATGATGAAAGCCAAGTAGTCATTCATACCTTCCACTCCCAACTTTGGTTTCCTTCAAAAGTGTCCTCAGCATTAGTTACTTGCGTAACTGAAGTTCTACATTAATACTGCTGTGGAACACCTCTGAATGGTTCCTGCTAAATCCCGAAGCGCTTACAAGTCCATTTATACGAGGGTGAGTCAAATGAAACCCTTAAATTTGTAATAAAAAATCGTAATTTCGTGCCATTATCCTGTAAGTTGGTAAGTGTGCTACCAACAGCATGCAGAATGGCCTGTAGGTTGCAGCATAGTGCAGATGCACGAACACCGTCACAGCACCAGTATAAGATGGCTGCCCCACTTGAGACTTGCACCAGGGAAGAACAGCGTTCTGTTATTCGGTTTTTGTGTAGTGAAGGTGTGAAACGTATTGAAATTTATCGAAGAATGAAGTTTCAGTATGGTGATGCATGTCTGTCACAGCAGCAAGTGTACGAATGGAGTAGGAAGTTTGCAAATGGTGTGACTTCAGTGGAAGATGCTCCTCGTCTGGGTCAGGCACATCGAGTTGTGACTCCAGAGAACACTGCGGCAGTTGAAGCCATAGTGAGGGAAAACTGCCGAGCAACACTGAATGAAATTGCAGCAAGTTTAAACATTAGTCATGGTTCAGCACACCACATTGTGCACGATGTCCTCCAGTTTCACAAAGTATCTGCAAGATGGGTACCACGACAGCTGACTCCTGAATTGAAAGATGCTTGTGAAGAACTTCTGTGGCACTTTGAGCGTTACTGGGGATAAAACCTGGGTTCACTTCTACCAACTGGAAACAAAGAGAGCGAGCAAGGAATTCCTCATCTCCAAAACTGAAGAAGTTTTGAACACAACCATTAGCAGGGAAGGTTATGCTGACTCTCTTTTGGGACAAAAAAGGCGTCATCTTGGAGCACTACATGCCTAGAGGGACCACTGTCACCAGTGCATCATACTCAGATCTCCTAAAAATCATCTTTGGCCTGCAATCAAATCAAAGTGACATGGATTGCCGTCCACAGGTATCCTTTTGCAACATGACAATGCAAGGCCCCATACTGCCTGTCCAACCGTTGCGACAATCAATGACCTGCATTTTGAGAGTCTTCCTCATCCGGCATACTCACCAGACCTTGCCCCAAGTGATTTCCATATGTTTGGACCACTCAAGGAATGGGAAGAAAGACGTTCCGTTCTAAGGAAGAGGTACGCCTCGCGGTGCATGAGTGGTTGCGGGGACTACCAAAAGAATTTTTTTCTAAAGGAATTCATGCACTTTGCAAGCACTGGAGGACTTGCATTGAGCATGGGGGAGATTATGTTGAAAAGTGATACAGCTTTGTACCACTTGTGCACAATAAATAATACTCAAAAAAATATTTAAGGTTTTCATTTGACTCGCCTACGTATAAACTGTTTTGGGCCACAGCATTCACCCTCCAACCTGCTGTACTTATTTCTGGGACATCCTGCATGTTTCTCAAATTTACATTTATTTGTTCATCCAATTTTGAACAAACAATGTAATGAGTACAGAATCTTATTTCAAGTGGCCCACACATACCAGTAACTCAAGTTATGAAACATGGTTTCCTTACTTTTGTCTGGCCCTCAAGAGCCAGTTCCTTGTGGGTGTTTATAATTCCCTCAGCCTTCTGCAGCAGGTCCCCACGATCTTCAGGGTTCAGTGTCTTGGTATCATCTAGAAATTGCTTCAGGTGCCCATCTTCAAGCTGGATCCTGAAAAACAACTATGGTCTAGCACAAGGGTGGATAATATTTGGCTGACAGGCCATTCCACCAGTTTATATAAGCTGTATAGTTCACACATTTCTGGCAGCATAAAATCTTAGATGATCAACTCATGTCTCCCACTTCTTCTTATACAAAATTACGGGTACATAATTAATGATTTTGAAACCTGTAATACTTATGGAAAAGCATACTGGGCATCAGATGTTTGTGTAATTTTCCTCTACAACTCCTGTTAGAACATTTTTAAATATAATATTTAGCAAGCTTCGTCCAAGATGCGCATAGAAACACATGTAGGTTCTCATTTCATGTGACGTGAACAAAACAGATTAACAACTCCACTCCATCATGATGTTTATGTTGATGTGCCTATTATTGTCTGATTTTAACCAAAACAGAAATGTGCCAGTAAATCTCAGTAAAACTAACCAATATAAAATTCAGTGGCAATCAGTTCCACTGTCCTAAGAGATATTACACATAGACTGTCAGATGCACAGACATGGCAAAGTTAACACACAAATTTTTTCAACTTCATTGTGAATACACCAAAAATTTGCAACCGTCACTGACTTGGAATTGCTACAACAGCAACATATCACTTTGAAAATCATTAACTCATGTTTTAGGCAAATCTGGAATTTCTTTAATACAAGATGATAAAGGAGACACAACACATAAACCATTTTCTATCAAAATCAGAGTCATATATCCAGCATATGACATATACAGAATGTCCCATGAAGAANAAATAAATTATTCAAAAAAAAAAAAAAAAAAAAAAAAAAGTATTTGCACATGTGTCCTATTCTAAATGGTTTCTGAGGCAGAGCTACTTCACTGTAAACGATCAACATGCCATGTCCTCACATGAGCTGCAAAGTGCACTGATGCTGAAGGCGGAATTTTAAAAAATGTATTATATATTAGGTAAATTGTACCAACTTTGTTACTTGAACAATACATACAGGCTTCAGAAACAGTACATAACATCTCTTTCTGGTCAACAGTTTTGGAACTATACAGTGAAACAGCTGTATCTCAGAAAACATTCGGAATAAGACACATGTACATATACAATTTTTTTTTGCCTAGAATGACTGATATTATGATCTCCCAGAATACTGACCTTTCCTCCTGGGACATCCTGTATATATTCTGGCCTTAAGTGCCTGTGCCCATCCTATTAGGTCCTCTTCTTTAAAAATTCAGCCAAAAATAATTGTAAATTAATAGGAAGGAGCAGAATACTGCCTGCTGCTATGCCAGTATCTGTACTGGTTATCAGATGTCTCCAAAGGTAAGAACCTATTTTAGTGGAAGAGTGAAGTAAGGTACCTTACCTCACAGGACGTCACAATTTGTGTGTATGCTTTGCTTTGTTTGCTACCAATAAACCATATCCAAATATGCAATAATAGTCTGCCTTGGTGGTCTAGTGGTAACATGTGAATTCAAACCCAGCCAATGTTGATAGATTTTTAAGGGTAATACGAGTAAAAATCTGTAGCACAACTTCCTTCAGACGGGAAGCAAAGCCAGGGGTCCCACACTGTACATTTACAGTATGTAAGAGAACGTTCCACTCATACTGAGAGATGAGGGAAAGCAAAATCAGATGCCATTTTCTAGTCGCCCACAAAGCTTCCTATTCTGCTCCTAGATGTCGCTACAGTCACATGACTGTGGAGACCTCTGGCACACAAGAGTGCTAACAGCTTGAAATTACCCAACCCAACTTAAGTACAATAGATGACTGATGACATAACTCTTCTAAGTGGCATCCAAACATAAAATGAGCTACAAATACACCATCTAGTTTAGGTTAAAAGCACAAATGACTGAACTGTCAAAGTGTGGCAATAGAAACCAACTAATCACGTGCAATAAGATGTGAAAATAAACAACAGCTATATCCTTCAGTCTGCCAGCAGTGTTCCTTATGAGTAGGAGGTAAAGTAGTGGAGTGCAGTATTGTAGTATGAAACAAAAATGAAATAGATCAACTGCCAACAAATATATTCTCAAATTATTGAACAATCCAGGATCCAAATTGGATAGATAGTGAAATGAAACAAAATGACAAATACACCTTGTCATGAAAGAATGAGAGATTTTAGACAGTGCACAAACCAGAGATTTTTGTCTGAGAGGTCATACAGCACTGTGCAGTAGTCATGTCTGGACTGGAGTTCGAAGTGCATGCAGCAAACATTAAAGATTTACTGACACAGAGCTTGAATGGACAACTGTGGACAGTTATGTTCAACATATACTTTGTGCAGCTAACCAAGGTCTATTTTTGGAAATCTATGAAAACTGACAATATAATTCCAGTAAGATCTTTTATATCAACTGTAATGTGGGCCAGCATATAAGAAAAGACTGGGGTTTCATTTCCATTACCCATTTGTCCTATGAGGTAATCATATTTATCTGCCTACATAATTGGAGAACAGTTTACTATTACAAAGAACTGAATCATATTCAAAGAGGCTGTTTATACAAACATTACCTACCTGCTACTTTAAGCAGTAGAGAAACAGTTATCTAAATTAAGAAGGTCACAGCAGTTAACAATACTTTTCCAAGTTTAAATCACATTATTTACACAAAATTACTATTGGCATAATCTGGTCATGTTATCTGCTAAAACAGAAAATATTCTGCATGGTTGTTTCAGCTGGAAATTATTTTTATACAATGATCAAAGTAATCAGAATATCAGATGACTGATAATGACTGATTAATGCAAATTCATCACAACAAATGGATTATAATGCCTAATGACGACCTTCGAGATCTTTCGTACAGTTCTTACTACATAAAGAAAGTACTGCAGTTTGTTATATTACACTCAACTCTTGATTATCCAGGAGCGGATAAACCGGTTTGCGGCCTAACTGGGGCTTTTTTGAGGTGAGCTGTAACACTATTTTCGCACTAGTGTGAACCGAGCTCTGGATTTTTTGGTCCCGTTATGCTAACACAATGTTCTAGGGTAGGGGTGAAAGAATGCAAGGATTTGTGGAAAGTTTCAAGGACAGATACACCACCCCAGTTAGTCTCTTTGTATCGATCTTCAAGTGTGTTAGCAAAATGTCTGGGTGTCAGATGCCATATACGAGATTTCAACAGCGTGGGATACAGAAAAGCCATCTGTATTGAAAAATTCATGGAAGAAACTGATGCCTTTCATCACTAATGAAGATGACAAAATCCATGGATTCACTGGATTCAGTGAAAATGAGATAGCCATAGAATTGACAAAATTGGATAACCAAGTTCATGGTGGTGAAGAAGTCAACGAGGAAAATATAGGAGAGTGGTTTGACTGTGACTCATGTGAGCCGGGCTTCGAAATGTTAAGCAGTGACGAGATCGTAAGTTCAGTGGGGGTGCAGCCAGAAGAGCGGGAAGAAAGTGAGAATGAGGAACAGGTGGACGATGCTGCAAGTAAGAAAATATCACATGGTGATGCTCTTAATCATTTAGAATCCTTACTAGACTATCTTGAGAGTGAAGAGAACAGTTTATTAAGTGACAAGCTAATATTACGTAGGCTTCGTACTGTAACCGCACCATGCAGGAACATCAACAAT